GGGCTCCGGCGAGGCTTCCCCCTCAGCCTCGCAAGCAGCTGGAACTACAGGTGTTCGCCACTATGCTGGGCGAATTTTTTGACTTATTTTAGAGATGAGGTCTCACCAAATTGCCCTGACTTGTCTCGAACCCCTGGGCTCAGGCAGTCCACTCGCCTCAGCTTCCCAAAATGCTGGGATTACAGGCTTGAGCCACCGTGCCTGACCCAAAACTACTTACTTAGAATCTTAGCTGTACTGTCATCTGGGTTGATCCCAGAAGTCAATACCTGGTCCCACACAACTTTTCTAAGCATCAGGGTCGCTCACAGTGAACGCAAACACATCCTGTTCTCTATTTTGGTATGCATTGTGTCATCTTGTCTTCATGGCCGAAGGCAAGGCAGAGAATATTCCTGTCCCCCTTTTAAGGCAAAACTGAGGCTCAGGCCCACATGTGGTACATGGCAGGGCTGGGAACCCTCCAGTCTTCTAAGTAGATGCTATGCTTAAAGGGTTTGAAGAGATTCTACAAGTTAGAATCTTTATCAAAATAGGTCAGGCATGGTGGCTCATGCCTAAAATCCCAGCACTTTGGAGGCGTGGGACTAGACTGGGAAATACAGCAAGCCCTCGTATCTATAAAACAAAAACAAAAAAATAAAACTTCAATATAAATAAATCTTTGCCACTGGAACTGCCGTGGGTTAGGATGGGGTGAGGCTTTAAGAAAATTTGTGATTTATGGCTATCCTGCATGCCTGACCCTGGTTATCACCACTGACTTCACAGTATTCACATATAATACAAAGTCACTGAGACTATGCCAGGTGTGGCACATGCCTATAATTCCAGCACTCTGGGAGGCCAAAGCCCAGAGGATTGCCTGAGCCCAGGAGTTCAAGACCAGCCTGGGAAATATGGCAAGACCTTGTCTCTGCAAAAAATAACTAGCCAGGTGTGGTAACATGCACCTATAGTCCCAGCTATTTGGGAGGTGGAAGCAGAAGGATCAATCATCTGAGCCCTGCAGTGAGCCATGATTGTGCCACTGCACTCCAGCCTGGGTGAGAGTGATACACTGACCCCAAAAAAAAAAAAAGTAGATGAGAATGTCCTGAAACCATCAGTATGCCTGTCTCCAATGCTAGTGGACCACTAATGCTCCTGCAGCCGTGAATGAATCTGTATCTCTGGGTCTTTTAGACAGTGCCCAAAAGACACACATTCAAGCCATATACACAGGCTTATTCAAGAATCCCCAGCCAACATGGTGGCTCACGTCTATAATCCTAGCACTTGGGGAGGCCGAGGTGAGAGGACTGCCTGAGCCCACGGGTTTGAGACCAGCCTAGGCAACTTGGCGAGACCGCTTCTCCTCAATACATCAAAAAATTAGCCAGGCATGGTGATGCATGCCTATAGTTCCAGCTACTTGGAAGGCTGAGGTGGAAGGATCAATCTAGCCTGGGCAACAGAATGAGTCTGACTCAAAAAAAAAAAATATTGGGCCTAGTATATTTCCGGGGTGACCCCTTCTCTGGTTTATTTGCTTTCTGTTTAGAAAATTTTTCTGTAAACTGCCGTGAAATTATTTGCTTCTTAGAAAACCATGTCCTTCACTTGGTAGAGATGTCTAACTTTAATCAATTTAGTAACTCTGGTCTTTAATTTAAAACAGAATTGCCTTAGATTTCAAGAAGGGGAATGATGTTGCCTTCCACTTTAACCCACGCTTCAAGGAGGACAACCAGAGAGTCATTGTTTGTAATACCAAGGTGCACGATGCCTGGGGAAGGGAAGAAAGACATGCGCAATTCCCATTCAAGAGTGGCCAACCATTTAAGGTAGGTGACTCACTTTGAGGCCTGTCGTTTGCACATCTCACCAGGAGTCAGTCTAGAACTGTGATGAGCTTGAAGTCCCTCTCCCTGCCAGGGGCCAGACACTTGGGTTGAGGACACACCAGCGGTGACCACTCTCCAGTTCCTGGCAGGCACCTCACCGTCATCACCATTACCACCCCTAAGTTTAAGCGTTTCTAGAAATGAAAAACATAGCATCGTTAATGAAAAAGGTAGCAAATCTTCATAGTTGGCTCGAAGATCAAAACTAAATTTTTTAAATTTTCTAAAATTTATCTTTGTTTCATGAAAAGAAAAGTGTATCGTTTTTTGTTTTGAGTTGAAATCTCACTTGGTCACCCAGGCTGGAGTGCAGTGGCATGCTCACAGCCACCGCAGCCTTGGCCTGCTGGACTCAGGCAATCCTGCCTCAGCATTCCAAGTAGCTACGGGCATGCACTGGCAGGCCTGCACTAGCAGGCCCAGCTTATTTTTTGTTATTTTTTGTAGAGATGAGGTCTTGCCAAGTTGCCCAGGCTGGTCTCAACCCCGTGGGCTCGGGCAGTCCTCTCACCCGGCCTCCCAAAGTGCTGGGATTATATGCTTGAGCTCAATTGTTAAAAATTTTTTGTAGAGACGAGAGCTCATCAAGTTGTCCAGGCTGGTCTTGAACCCCTGGGCTCAGGCAGTTCTCTTGCCTTGGCCTCCCAAAGTGCTGGTATTACAGGCGTGAGCCACTGCACCCGGCTCACTTAAAACAAAAAAACCCCAAAAACCAACAAAAAAAAGAAATGTGTATCCCTACCCTCACCCAACTGATTGTCCATTTTTATCACATTTGCCACTATGGGAATCTTAAATTTGTGTTTATTGATCTTAGGTGTTTTAGGCTGTACAAAACCTTAAAGCTTTTAAGTAGACAAATTACTAACCCTTTCCTTTATGGCTTCACCTATGCATCCTTCTAATTTTGTTGCTTCATCTTTTTGGTTGTTTAAATCTTTGAAGAGGCTAGGAGCGATGGCTCAAGCCTGTAATCCCTGCACTTTGGGAGGCCAAGGTGAGGGGATTGCCTGAGCCCGGGGGTTTGAGACCAGCCTGGGCAACTTGGTGCAACCTCATCTCTACAACTAAAAAAAAAAAAAAAAATCTTTGAATAATCTGGAGTTTATTTTTCCTGTAAAGTGATTTCTTTGGATCTTTTTTTTGTTTGTTTGTTTTTGTTTTTGAGTTGGAGTCTCACTCTGTCGCCCAGACTGGAGTGCAGTAGCCGCTCCCGGCCACCACAGCCTCGACCTGCTGGGCTCCGGCGATCCTTCCGCCTCAGCCTTCCAAGTAGCCAGAATTACAGGAATGTGCTACCACGCCCGGCTGATTTTTTGATTTATTGTAGAGATGAGGTCTCACCAAGTTGGCAAGGCAGGTCTCAAACCCACAGGCTCAGGCAATCCACTCCCTCAGCCTCCCAAAGGCGTGGGATTACAGGCTGAGCCACCGAGCCCAGCTGATTTCTCTGGATCTTAATCAGTTTCATAAATGATGGTAAAGGTGGCTGGCATGTTAGACATCCTGAGCTCAGGCCAGGTTTGAAATTAATGGGCATTTCTTTTTTTTTTCTGGTTTATTTAAGCTGAAAAATAATTGCATACATCTATCATGTACAACCTGATGTTTTGAGAAGTGTATACACTGTGAAAGGGCTAGGTTGAGCTAACTGACAGATGCTGGACCTCACATAATGGCTTTTGCATTTCAGATACAAATTCTGGTTGAGTCTGACCACTTCAAGGTTGCAGTCAATGATGCTCACTTGTTGCAGTACAATCATCGGATGAAAAATCTCAACGAAATCACCAAACTGGGAATTTCAGGTGATATCGACCTCACCAGTGCTTCCCATGCTATGATATAATCTGAAAGGCCAGATACTTTTTTAAGATTAAAATTGTATCTGAACCTTATACATGTCAAAACTACATATTCATCATGAATGGAAAATTTTACACTTATTCATCAATATCCTTCTTGTAAGTCATCCATTTAATAAATTTAATATGCTAAGAGTTGCCTGTCTTTTTTCCTTTTTTTTAGGGACAAGGTCTTGCTCTGTCACCCAGGCTGGAGTATACTGGCACAATCATAGCTCACTATACCCTTGAACTCCTGGCCTTAAGCGATCCTCCCACCTCAGCTTCCCTGCATTAGGGCCTCTCAGAGTTTATTTTGAGTTGGCGTCTCACCCTGTCACCCAGGCTAGAGTACAGGGGCACACTCAGGGCTACCACAGCCTCGACCTGCTGGGCTCAGGCAATCATTCCACCTCAGCCTTCCAAGTAACTGGGATACAGGTGCGTGCTACCATGCCCAGCTAATTGTTTGATTTATTGTAGAGATGAGGTCTCGCCAAGTTGCCCAGGCTGGTCTCGAAACCCTGGGCTCAGGCAATCCTCTCACTTCGGCCTTCCAAAGTGCTGGGATTAGAGGCTTGAGCCATGTGCCCGGCCAAAGTGGTTTTTTTTTTTTGAGTTGGAGTCTCACTCTGTCACCCAGTCTGGAGTGCAGTAGCCGCTCCTGGCCACCTCAGCCTTGACCTGCTGGGCTCCGGCGATCCTTCCACCTCAGCCTTCCAAGTAGCTGGAACTACAGGCGCGTGCTACCACGCCCAGCTAATTTTTGATTTATTATAGAGATGAGGTCCCGCCAAGTTGCCCAGGCGGGTCTTGAACCTGCGGGCTCAGGCAATTCACTCACCTCAGTCTTCCAAGGTGTGGGATTACAGGCTGAGCCATTGAGCCCAGCTCAAAGTGTTTTTTATACTTGCTAAAATACTTTTCTAAGAAAGTAGAAAGTAAATACTACCCCCAAATTATCCTATCTTCCAGTTTTCTAAAACCAAAAGATGTGAGCAGGCACAGTGGCTCAGATATGTAATCCCAGACTTTGGGAAACCAAGGCAGGAGAACCCCTTAAGCCCAGGAGTTCCAGACAAGCCCGGGCAATATGACAAGACCCTGTCTCTACACACACACACACACACCCAACACATGCTATACACAAACTGAGCATGGTGGCATGCCTGTAATCCTAGCTATCAGGAGGCTAAGGCTGGAGGATCCCTTGATCCCAGGAGTCTGAGGCTGCAGTTAGCTGTGATTGTGCCTCTGTGCTCCAGCCAGTCTCTAAAACAATAGGCTAGGTGCAGTGGTTCATGCCTGTAATCCTAGCGTTGGGAGGCCAAGGTGTGGAAGGATTGCTTGAGGTCAGGAGTTCGAGACCAGCATGGGTGACATAGCGAGACCCCCATCTCTACAAAATAAATACATTAAAAATTAAAAATCAGGAGATGCTACAAGAAAATTCTCTCATTTTTTACGTAAAGAGATATATTCAAGAAATGAAAAAAGCAGAAAGAACCATGGATGACCTGTGACCCATAGACAATTATTATTAGCATTCTGGTATATTTCTTTGACTACTTTTTTTTTTCCAATAAAACTTTGCTTATTAAGACAGAATTTGGTCCTCAGGCTGTAGTTTGCCAGCTCCTGTTTTAATGTATACAATTTGATGCTTTTAGGCCTCAAAACCTGTTTTTTAGAATTAAGCAGGTGATTCATTTTTTAAAAAACGGATGAGTACAATTCACAGGTATACAAATGGTCATTGTACAGGTAAAGTTTGGGCCTCACTTTGGTTCCCACTTCACCTGGCTTACAATCAGGTATCCTTATTGATGAAGTGTGCCCCCCCCCCCAACTATTTTCCACTACTGCCAATCCCTTTCTTATAGTATTATGGTAAATGTTCAGGGTCTGCTTATGAGTGAGACCATGTGGTACTAAGTTCTTTGTTTCTGTGATAGTTCACTACTTTCTTTTTTGAGTCGGAATCTCACTGTGTCATCCAGGCTGGAGTGCAGTGGCCTACTCAGGGCCACCACAGCCTCGACCTGCTGGGCTCAGGTGATCCTTCTGCCTCAGCCTTCCAAGTAGCTGCAACTATAGGTGTGTGCCACCACACCCAGCTAATTTTTTGATTTATTGTAGAGATGAGGTCTTGCCAAGTTGCCCAGGCTGGTCTCCAACCCCTGGGCTCAGGTAATCCTCTTGCCTCGGCCTCCCAAAATGCTGGGATTACAGGCTTGAGGCACCATGCCTGGCCTAGTCCACTAATTTCAAACTAGTATTTGATTCCCATATAAGACACTGTAGATTATCTTGGTTTTTATAAAGTCTCGAGACTTGTAGAGAAAAAAGGAGTATCTTAATTAGATAAAAATTCAGCTTTCAAATTCCCCTTGTCAACATTCCTACCCACGCTTTTCCCTCTTCTACCACCAGCAAGTCCAAAGACTAACAACATTCAGAACTAGAATGTGGTCACCCTTCATCTTACTGGAAGACCAAAACTACTTGTCTATCTGTTCCTACAATGCCATCTTGTCAAGTCCTTGGCACTGGCAATCATCACAGGTTGGGTTTCCCAGGAAACAGATGAGAAGGCAGGGAGTGCACTTGAGTCTCCACCTCGGGGATGGAAAGGCGTGAGACTGGCGGAGGCAGAAGCTGAGCAGCAGCCTCTCAGACGACCCGGAGTTCTGAAAGTGTGATGACCCTTCGGCCTGGGAGGGGCCCAGGCCTTTAATCCCACTTGGAGCAATCACTGAGTCATGAGACACCTGGGGAACAAGGCGCGACCTTGGGCGGAGTGGCTGTCTTCACTGGAGGACTCTGCCAGAGCAGACTAAGGTCTCTGGTCCCAAGGAGGGGTTTGGCTGGCACTTCACCAACTCCCACGTCAGCTCTGTACCCTGGCACTCCAGTTTTGACAGCTCTCCTCGTGTGATTATGTAGAACAACACAGCTTTGGAGGAAAGAGAGAACTTGGTTTAAGCAGAATTACTTAAATTCCCAGAGCCTGAGTTTCTTTGTCTATAAAATAAGTATATCATAGGCTGGGTGCAGTGATCTCGCCTATAATCTCAGCACTTTGGGAGGCCAAGGCGAGAGGACTGCTGAGCCCAGGGGTTTGAGCCAGCCTAGGTGAGACCTCATCTCTACAATAAATATGATTAGCTGGGTGTGGTGGTACATGTCTGTAGTTCCAGGTATTTAGAAGGCTGAGGTGGAAGGATTGCCTGAGCTCAGCAGGTCGAGGCTGCGGTGGCCTTGAGTGTGCCACTGCACTCCAGCCTGGGTGACAGTGTGACACCGACTCAAAAATACTTTTTAAAAAGTATATCTCGGCCAGGCTCGGTGGCTCAGCCTGTAATCCCAGCACTTTGGGAGGCCGAGGTGAGTGGATTGCCTGAGCCCGTGGGTTCGAGATCTGCCTGGGCAACTTGACAAGACCTCATCTCTACAATAAATCAAAAATTAGCTGGGCATGGTAGTGCACGCCTGTAGTTCCAGCTACTTGGAAGGCTGAGGCGGAAGGATCGCCGGAGCCCAGCAGGTTGAGGCTGTGGTGGCTGGGAGCGGCCACTGCGCTCCAGTCTGGGTGACAGAGTGAGACTCCAACTCAAAACAAAACAAAACGAAAAGTACATCTCTTGCAGGGCTACTATAACATTCAGTGAAATATTGTTTGCAGAGATTCACAAATACTATGTCCTCGATAAATGGAAATTCCCTTCCTATTTTCTGAATTTCCCGTACAATCTACCAAAGCAGTTCTCTTTTTTTTTTTTTTTTTTTTTTAGTTAGAGTCTCAATCTGTCACCCAGGCTGGAGTGCAGTGGCACACTCAAGGCCACCCCAGACTCGACATACTGGGCTTCAGTGATCCTGCTGCCTCACCTTCCAAGTAGCCGAACTATAGACACGCGCCACCACACCTGTTTAATATTTTATTTATTTATTTATTTATTTATTTATTGAGTTGGAGTCTCACTCTGTCACCCAGACTGTAGTGCAGTGGCCACTCCCGGCCACCGCAGCCTCGACCTGCTGGGCTCCAGCGATCCTTCCGCCTCAGCCTTCCAAGGAGCCGGAATTACAGGCGTGCGCTACCACGCCCGGCTGATTTTTTGTTTTTATTGTAGAGATGAGGTCTCGCCTGCCCAGGCGGGTCTCGAACCCGCGGGTTCAGGCAATCCACTCACCTCAGCCTCCCAAAGGCGCGGGATTACAGGCTGAGCCACCGAGCCCGGCATTAATGTTTCATTATAGAGACAAGATCTCGACAAGATGCCTGGGCTGGTCTTGAACCCGGGGGGCTGAATCCACTTGCCTCAGCCTCTCAAAGTGCTGGGATTATAGGCTGAGCCACTGAGCCCTGCCTTGTCTTTAAAGATTTTCCTACTAGTTCCTCATTCCAGAGTTCAGTAGCCCAAGAACATTATCTAGTTGAAGGGGATGCTGGTGGTTTCCTGTCAGTCATGGTTCTACTCAGGTTTCACCACAGATTCAATAGGGAAACCTGCTCAGTTTAAGCCAATTCCCTGCCGACTCACTGATCTGTAGATGGGGTGTGACATCAGCTGGTCTAACCAGGCCAATGGGCAGCACAGAGCAGATTGCCACTAGCAGCCGTCTTATGACACCAGAAGGACACAGCCTTAGAGAGGAAGCTGACACTAAGGAAAACGGGACGAACTATAAACAGAATATTGACCTGGAGCCATCACTCAGTTATCGACTGTAAAGTGCCTGGAGTCATTCTGATAACTCATAATACATTCAACATTTGTTAAAGGCAGTTTGAATTCACTACTTGTTTAAATAACCCAAACAAGCTGTGCAGAAAAAAAAAATAGGCCAGGCGTAATGGCTCACGCATATAATTTCAGCATTTTGAGGAGGCTGAGGTGAGAGGATTACCTGAGTCCAAGGGTTAGAGATCAGTCTGGACAACTTGGTGAGAACTCATCTATAAAGTAGATAAAGCCGGGCTCGGTGGCTTAGCCTGTAATCCCGTGCCTTTGGGAGGCTGAGGTGAGTGGATTGCCTGAGCCCGCGGGTTCAAGACCCTCCTGGGCAGTGAGACCTCATCTCTACAAAAAATAAAAAAAAAATCAGCCGGGCGTGGTAGCGCATGCCTGTAATTCCGGCTACTCGGAAGGCTGAGGCGGAAGGATCGCCGGAGCCCAGCAGGTCGAGGCTGCAGTGGCCGGGAGTGGCCACTGCACTCCGGTCTGGGCGACAGAGTGAGACTCCTGCTC